AAGCTTTAATCCCAGAGGAACAGAGAAAGTTTGGAAGAGAAACGGGAGTGTGGTGGGGGAGAACTAAAGAAAGAAGAGTGATAAAGATATTTGTCTGTATTTGTTTCCAAATGACTTCTTTCTTTCCACCTTACTCACTGAGCTGCCTTATGAAGAGTATTCTTTAAAAAGATGGGAGAAAACCATGGAAAGGAAAAAGGATTCTCTTAAAATCAAGATCAGGAAAATTCCAGGCAGCCAGTAAGAGGCATAGATATCAATTTCTCCGCATTGATGTGCCTGGAATGTGCTTCATGTTGATTCCCAAAGACTTTGCAACATTTCATAATGTTTGTGCTGGACAGTGCCTAGCAAGGTAGGGAAATGATAGGACATTTAATTCAATGTCACATTGCTCTTTTCTTTGGTAGAATCTGGGTCTCCTATGATAATTTAATTTTCCAGGAGTTTTACTTGGAAGCTAGAGCAGAATCTGTAGAACAAGTAGAATTTAAAATTTGCGGTGTTACCATCAGGACAGTGAATTTTTTTGCCAATACTCAATGTGTGTGTGTGGGAGAGCGATGGTACAGTGAGAACTCTGTTTCTGTTACCTGCGTCAGTAACGGATTACCTTGTCTCATTTCTAATTTTATAAGCACTAAACTTATGATTGGAATAATAAACTTTACAGAGATTACCCAAATTTATCCCCTGGGTTATTTTTATAGTTCCTCAGAGCATTGTAATGCTCTTCGTTGAATTCTAGTTGATTTCATTTTTTAAAATCCAAGGTAAGAGGTTTGTTATTGTTTGCTATGTCTATTTCTTTCACTTTGGGGATTTGTTTCTTTATACATCCCAGATGAGTGGGAGAAAATTGTATTTACTCTTTTACTTCGGATTTATTTCAATGAAAACAATGCCTTTAAATTACATTCAGATTGCAGATGAATTCAATACTTCATTTTTTGTTATAACTGCACAATATTTATTTTGTATCTATAACAGCTACTTTATTCATCTGTCATTGGACATTTTGGTTGTTTTTATATCTGACTATCGTATTAGTATGGCAATAAATGTCAGTGTGCATAGTATATGTCTTTTTAAATTAATTAACAAAGGGGTAGGCATTTTCAAAATTATTTCAAAACATACTTTAAAATTAAGTTATTTTTTATGGGAGGGGTAAGTATCATGAAGAGAAATAACTGGGATGTGGAAGTTCTCTTTCCTTTTTGAGAAGTCACCACACAGGTTTCTCTAGCGATTGACCTGGAAAACATTCCCACCAATAGTGAATGAGGGTTCCTTTCTCACTATGCCCCCATTATATACAGTTTTTTCCCCCAATCTTTTGAATGTAGTCTGAATTTGCTGGTGTGAAATAATAGCTCATTGCCATTTTAATTTGTGTTTTTTCATGAAGGAGCCTACAAACACTTTTCCATGTGACTTCACTCTTTGGGAAGGGGTCTGCCATTTCCTTTCTCCCATTTTGACATTGTGACTCTTTGTTGTATGTTTTCTGAGTTTTATATATATATTTTGGAAGTCAGCATTTTATATGATGTCTGATGTACAAATATTTTTCCCATTTAGTAGGATATCTTTAGTTTAGCTCACATTTTTTTCCATGCAAAACATTTTAAGTTTGATATGTAGTCCCATTTGTTTATTTCTTCAATTGTTTTCTTTGCCAACAGAGTCAAATTTTTGCAGATATGTCTGAGGTACATATTCTGGAATGTTCCACCTATGTCTCAATATATGTTATGAATTTTGGTTTAATATTAAGTTTTTTTCTCTTTTTGGGTTGCACCCTGCAATGCACAGGGGTTCCTTCTGGGGTTGCACTCAGGAGTTACTCTTGGCGGTGCTCAGAGACCATATGGGATACTGGGAATTGAACCGAGGTTGTCTGCATGCAAGGCAAACGCCCTACCCCTTGTAATATTCTTCAGCCCCTATCAAGGTATTTTTCCACTTAGAATTAATCTTTGTAAGATGTTTACCCAGTTTTTAGTTTTTTGCATGTGACAGTCCAGTTTTCTCAGCGCTGGTAATATGTATTTTTGAAGAAATGTTTGAAACTGTAGCCCAATTTAATACATATACAATCTTGCAACTCACAGTCATGGTTACAGTCCTCCCATTATTCATCGATATGCTCGAGTGGGCCCAGTAACCTCTCCATCGTGAGACTTTTTGTTACTATATTTGGCCTATTGAATACGTCCATGGGTAGCTTGCAGGCCCTGCTATGCGGGTGAGATACTCTCTATAGCTTGCCGAGTTCTCCAAGAGGGGCTAGGAATTGAACCTGGCTTGGCTGGGTCGGCTGCGTGCAAGGCAAACCCCCCACCGCTGTGCTGTCGCTCCAGCCCAATCTTGTATCTATATACATAAAATCAAGAATGGGATCTTGTTAAAACTAACTATATCCCTAGTAATGGTCAGTGTAGATGAGTTCAGTGCAAATGAAAGGAATAGATATATGTGGCAACGATCTGAAGTTGACCTTCGTAAGGAAGAATCAATAGTGTTACATAATGTTGTAAAATTATATTAGGTCACATGAATCATACCTATCATTAATGTAAGATATTCAGTGTATGAAACCCTCATAGGCATTTTGTAGACATTAATTAATTTGATTCACTCATGGATAACCTACTGTATATAATAACTACTACAACATACTTGGTTTTACAAGTGATAAAGTGAGCTTGCACATGTTAAGTTTCTCTAGTCACATTACTGGATATAAAGAAACTAGTATTCACCCCAGATTCGGCTATTCTGTTAACCCTGATTATGACCATTATAACTGTCTTGTCTTGACTTTGTTTTTTATATCCCTACTTTACCTGTTTTTTTTCTCACTAATCAAAACAATTTAATGCAAAATCTGTCTCACAGGATTGGTTGGTAATGGATAGGGCACTGAGAAAATGTCTGAATATATTTAAAAAGCAAAGTAAAGATGGAAATTCCATTATTTAACTTTCTATTATGAAGCCATTTACTAGCAGTACCATCTTTTTAAATTTTTTTATTTTATGAGGTGATTCACAATATTTGATTACATTTAATATTCAAACACTAATCCCATCACCATTACACTTTCTCACCACCAAATTTGGGATGTTTCCATCATCATGCCCTGATCCCTGTCCCAAATCAGAACCAAAATAATATATATAATATATATTTTGTATTGTCCGTTATGAAGTACTGCTGAAAATGCTTACAGAAAAGTATTCATATAGGAAACAGTGTGAAGATTCTTCTATTTTGACAGGGGCCATTAAGACATTCTTTAGAATATCACCAACATGTTGTTAAAAGCTGAGTGATGTGAGCTTTCATATTTATATATGTATATATTCATAAATATTTTCCCCTCTATGATTTGTTGCCTACTTTCTGAACCCCATCCAATGTGGTGTAGTATATTGAAAGATATGGTACAAAGTACAAAGTACTATAGTACAAAGTACAAAGTACATAGTATATAGTACATACATAGTACATACATAGTACATAGTACATAGTACTATAGTACTATAGCAAATAGTACATAGTACATAGTACAAAGTACTAAGTACAAAGTATATAGTAAAAAGTACATAGTACAAAGAAACATAGTATATACATAGTACATAGTATGTATCTATGTATCTATGTACATACTATATAGTATATAGTATGTATCTATATATCTATGTATTTACTATTTACTTGCTGGGAGCACTCTCCACACACTTGGATGAGCCTCACGCATAAAAGAACTGACAGAGGAACCCAGGTGTGTGGGACCCGGGGCTGAGATCTCCAAGCCTGTAGAGTTTGGGACTGGACCTGCCAGTAACTAGACAGTTACACCCACCAACTGCCGTGTAACTCCAACAACGGCCAGGATACAGAGATCATCACACTCAGCTCCCGGAAGCGCGCGGCCGCATTCCCGGCCGCGCGACATCTTATCATCTCATTCCTAATTCGGTCAAACTGGCAGGCTACCAAATGTAACATGCCCACACGGCAGAGTCTGGCAAACTCCCCGTGGTATACCCAATATGCCAAATACCAGTAACAATGATGGGTCTCATTCTCCTAACCCTGAAAAAGCCTTGAATATGGCACTTTAAAAAAAAAATCTCAGGGCTAGGACAAAGAAGACGTTACTGGCACCTGCTCGAGGCAATCGACGAACAACAGGGTGGTTGTGATCGTGATCGTGATACATAGAATGCATCTATGTACATAGTACATAGATACAAGATACATAGTATATAGTACAAAGTACATAGTTACAATGATATAGTATAAAGATATGGTACATTGAAAGATATAGTACCAAAAAATCAATGAATGAACACCTCACCAAGAATAATCTGTCCAGCTAGATTATCATTCATATTTGAAGGAACTACGCAAAGCATCATGAGTAGGCAACAGATTAGGGAATTCGTAGTTTGAAAGGAAGTGTTTAAAAGAGCTCCATTAAGGGACAGGAGGAACTTCCATCATGTGGCACTTGGTCTGACACTCACGAATGGTACATATGGTTGTATTCTACCAAATCCAGTAGGGCTGAAAACATAGAGCAGGCCCTTCCATCGCCCCTGGTTTGCTCCACAGGTGTGTGACCTCCTGACCTGCTGCCCAACCCTGTGCCTTTGCCCCGATCTGACACCCAGACCCCCAACACCTCCCAGCATCCTGGGACGGGCAGGGCAGGGGTTGTAGCCTCTGCAGTAGTGGGCGTGGCCTCTGCTGCAGGGGCGTGGCCTCCAGCCACAGTCATTTTCCCCTTTCTCAGCACTCTGGACTCATGTCTCAGTCCCCATTACCGAATTCTGTAGAGAACTTCCTGGCTATTTCAAAGACAATAGGACAATAGTCCACTAGACTATTACAACTTCACCAAAATACTGGTGGACACAAGAAGCTGTGCAAGCCTAGTATAAAAGAACTCAATCTATGAACCTTCACTAGAGGCCTCGCACAAGTCACAGAAGAGTACCTAAGAGGAAGCTAATATTATAGAAGGAGAAAAAAGGCGACAACCAATGACTGAGCTCATACAAATTCCTTTTTTGCAGCAAGTGGGGAATACTGATAGTGAACTGGAAGGTCCCACCTCCATATTACCACAACAACATGAAGAAACAGTGCAAATCCCCCCCCCCCCCCCGCCCCATGTGGAGAGGGTGAAGAAGACTCCAGAAGCCTTAACAGGGGTTACACACAAATACGACATATCCATACTGCAGAATTTGTGTGTGGTCAGGTGGACATGGCTATCGAAGAGATCCGAGTAAAAGTTGTGGATAACTTTTTTCCACTGCACTTCTGGAAGATGTAATAGATTCTTTAGGATGTTGGAGGGCAATCATCTTGTTCTTGTAGTTGGCAATGGACAGGCGGCATTGTGAATACTTTTTCTGGCTTCTGACACATCAGTCAACACTGCTGCTCTTCTCTCTTTGAGGTCTTCCTTTATCACTTCTCTGCACAGTTTTGCAAGCTTGGATGCTATCTTGTGATTGCCTGAGATTTGCTCCAAACCACGCTGGCGAATGAGTTCGAGCATTTCCAAAGACAGGCGTCTTTTTGTGGCTTTCTCTCTCTCTGTGTTCCTTGCACAATCATGGAGGTGCTGAACCAGTCGATCATCTTCCTAAAACACTCAAAAAAACTCAAAAACCCCCAAAATCAACTCGATGTTTGTAATGAATAATTTATGCACTTTTTAATATGCTTTACATGTCATTTCCAATGGGAGCATATTAGGATATTTTTCTGTGCTTTCATTTTTATACAGATGAACTCAAAACAAAGTATGAATACAAGAACCACTTTGATGAAAGTAAACCTCAAGAAAAATTGATCTTTAAAATGTTTCACCTGAATTTTGATTTTGCCATTTTATGCACATAAGCATAGGAAATGCTTTAAGTTCTATTAATTATTATATCCTTGGTTATAAATCAGGTGTAATAATAATACCTATATTTTAGATGCAAATAAGTAGGTTTTATACAGTGTCTAAAAGATAGGTATAGGCATCATTAAATCTTTTATTTTTTACGTTTTATTTTTATTTTTTTGTTGAGGGGCGTTCATACCCATCAATGCTCAGGAGTTATTTCTGGCTCTGCCTTGATCTGACTCAGGAATTACTCCTGGTGGTGCTCAAGGGAGCATATAGGATGCTGGAGATCAAACCTGTGGACCATGTGGAATGCCTTGGATCAAAACTGTCTTATGGATCAAACCACATGCAAAACCAGTTCTGTAACACAAAGACCCAGTTTTCCTATAAATACATCACAAAAAGAACCATAGTTAACTTAGTCATATATTAAGTTCCTCCCTACTTGGGGAGCTCCTTCTCTCTTCTCTTCTACTTCCAACATAATTTTCTACTTTAGAACTCTGAATCTGAGCATCTTTATTTTTCAATATTTTCTCTCTTGAAAATATTGAAGTGCCTGGGATTAGTGAATGAATCCGCTTCTGCCTTACCTGTATCAATGCCCTCCAAACCTTCTTTGTTTTTGCAAACTGCAATTTCATGTTTCATGGGAATTCATCCCCCTAATAATAAAAAGGTAAAGGTAAAGGCCCTCCCGTTGATCGTCGATTTGCTCGAGCGGGCCCAGTAACGTCTCCATTGGAGACTTTGTTGTTACTGTGTCTGGCATATCGAATACTCTCGGTAGCTTGCCGGGCTCTCCGAGAGGGGCGGAGGAATCGAACTCGGGTCGGCCATGTTGGCCGCTTGTAAGGCGAACGCCCTACCGCCGTGCTATTGCTCCAGCCTAATAATAATAATAATAATAATAATAATAATAATAATAATAAAGCAACCCAAAAATGGTATATTCCCTTGGTAAAATAGTTTTGGTCTTCACTGTCATTGTATCCTTGTCATCCCGCTGCTCATTGATTGCTTGAGCGGGCACCAGTAACATCTCCATTTGTTCCTGTCGTGTACTAGTGTAGCCCAATGGTGTCTGCTCGCTCCAGGAAGATGAAGAGCACGTTGTTTTTTTTTTTTACCGTATTTGGCATATTGAAGAGCTCACAGGTAGCTTGCCAGTCTCTGCCATACAGGGGCCCGTAATCGAACCTGGGTTGGTCGCGTACAAGGCAAACTCCTTAACTGCTGTGCTGTCACTTTTGTTGGCTTTAAAGATGTCCCAGCTTAGCATAGAATAAGACTATTTATGGTCTTTTAGATAGGGGCAGCATGGACAAAATTAGAACAGGAAATTGTCAAGACTTTAGATTTTAAGGATGCCTTCTGGTAGTTATGTAAAATACCCAAACCTCTGATCTACATATCGAATGTTGATGCACTCCTTTACTCTCTTTCTTTTTTTTTTTTGCTTTTTGGGTCACACCCGGCGATGCTCAGGGGTTACTCCTGGCTCATGCAGTCAGGAATCACTCCTGGTGGTGCTCGGGGGACCATATGGGATGCTGGGAATCGAACCTGTGTCGGCCATGTTGGCTGCGTGCAAGGCAAATGCCTTATTCGCTGTGCTATCGCTCCAGCCCCACTCCTTTACTTTCTTAATGTCTCTGTCAACAAATGGTGCACCTTTGGGACCCCCTATATAGATTGTATGGTAAACCTTTTCATAAATTTCTTCTCATAGGCCTTAAAATAATCTGGAATTTCAAAGAGTGAGACAATATTGGAACTAATGTTTTTAGTTGTTTCGTTGTATTCAGAGATACAGTTGATGGATGGCATTGAAGGGATGATAATTTGATATATATGTATATATTCAAAATGATCACCTCAAAAACATCTATAGCAGCACATAGTTATAATTTTACCCCTTATGATGAGAATTCTGATATTTTTTAGGAACTTTAAAATATAGGGTATAGTATGTATACATACATAGTTTCCATCATTCATCGATTATTTGGGCACTTAAATTGCCAAAGGAGAATGGGTAAATGTTAGGATAATGTTTGCCAATAATTCACAAAGGGGTGCAGATACTTAGGTCAATGATTTTTCTTGACTTTGGATGTATACAGATGAGCTTGGTAGAATATAGGCAGAATGATTTTATTTATAGGTGCCACCCTAAGCAGTAGTGAGAGAATCTCGGTCATGCCTATGTCCTCTGCTCAGTGGTGTGTATCTGCAGCTCAGTTCTCGCTGGTGGTGCTTGGAAGTAACCAGAGTCATCCTGGGGATTGTCCAAGGCCAAGAAGGCCTTATATGGTACTCAGAGACCCTATGGTGCCAGGGATCAAACTTGAGTTTTTTAATTTTTCCTTTCTTTCTTTCTTTCTTTCTTTCTTTCTTTCTTTCTTTCTTTCTTTCTTTCTTTCTTTCATTGAATCACCATGAGAACAGTTACAAAGTTTTCAGGTCTAAGTTCAGAGGGATTTCTGCCAAAAGCCGCTGTGTTCCAAGATTGGTTTGTGTGCCTCTGGGATGGTATTTGAAGAAATTCCTGCAAATATCAGCACACCATTTAATATGTAACAATTGTTCAAAAGGTATTTCCTTGATCCCAAGGGAGAATTGGCACTGGTGGAGGGATGGATACTTGAACATTGTATGACTGAAACGTAAGAACAAACCTTTGCAAATCTGTAACTGTACCTCATGGTGTTTCATTAAAAAAAAAAGGTGTTGCCTCTCTTGCTTGCAGATAACAATGAATGTAAACTGTACCTATGGATTGAAAAGATGGTGTGGTAGAGTATTTTGGGCTAATTTGGACAAATTTCTGAGACATAATATACCCAGAGAAAGTCAATTTTTTTGGTTAGATTTAGACAAGGAAAACTGTCTGGAACCATAAAGATATAAATCATAAAAATTGGTAAATTACTTTCAATTTATTTTTACTTTATTGAAATATACTAAGATCAAAGAGATACATGTTAAAAAGTGACAAGCTCAGGTACACCTTTATCCTTTAAGAGGGTGAGAGTAAATATTTCAGCTCCCAAATAAAACAAGATAAATACATTTAAGAATTGAGGGATGTGGTAAGGATGGAAGAGCTCACACTCAGGTTTATAATAAAGAGCGCCAACCAAATATGCTATGAATATAAATTTTTCTGCATTGGATGAAAGAATATACATATAAAAGAAGCAATTATAATTTTAAAATATTAGTCATTAGAATAGACATAAAGTTCAAATTGATGAGTATTCTAAACATTGATAATATATTATGATTGTAAAATTTTTCTTGCATCAAAAATGAATGAAGAAAACTGGAATATGGTGTCTCATTAATAAAAATTTAAAAAAAGAAAACTAGAATATTGGTAAGGATTTAATATTTGGCAATTTTTTTAAATTATATATTGTAATTTCATTGTAAATGATTAGCGATACCTTGTAGGATAACATTGGGTTTGTCCTTTCAGTCTTGCCGCAAAGAACTTAGTTTACCATAAAGCAATGTCCTTTCTGTATGGACACAGGAAGACAGTTATTATTATGCTTTGTAACTCGAGAGTTGATTGACTTCCATTATATTTACTCCTGGGCATCTGCTCTGTCAACTCAGTTGCCCTTAGTTCCTAGTATCCCACAAGGTCTCGATGAAGGACTGAATGGACCCAGGGCACACTGTGAGCTACCATGTCATCAAAATGGGCCAGGACAAAGCACCACAACACTCAAATATAAGTTGAGAGCATGATCATAGACAAATGCTGTCATGATCCAAAAGTAACAATGAGACTAGGACCCTGCTGGGGTTAGGAAGACTAACCTGGCCTGAGGTCTGTGATCTGGAATATACAGTAAGATGACCTCAGGAAGAACCAAACTTTAAGTTGATATGTCTCTTACTGTGCATATTCAGAATGACATTGCTAGAAATATTTAAAGTAGATTTCCTACAACTATTTAAGTGGATTACTATCTGAGGAAAGAAGAAAGCAACACACCCTGGATGGGATCCCGCCCTTGGCGGATCTGCTAGTAATCCAGTAGTCCAGAGTAATATATTTAGATGAGATTTTATCCTTGAGTTAATCTCCTGGAGGAGTGGTTTTACCCTTCTTAGGTGATTTGTTAATGTTCAGCCCTCCTTTGTGTCACCACCTTATGTGATTGCTATCTAAACTAAGACTGTAAGAGTGGAGGGGGGCAGAGTCAGAGGCGAGAAGAGCAAGTCAGAATCCAGGAGTCAGAGTCAGAAGTGAGAGCAGCAGGTTGAGCTCCAGAAGTCAGGGTCTGGCTCGAGAAGTCAGGGTCAGGATCCAGGGAAGAAGAAGCAGAGAACGGAAGAAGAGGGCAGAGTCAGAATCCAGAGCGAAGGACTCCAGAGACAGGAGCAGAAGTACTCCAGAGAGAGAGCAGAAAAGATCCTGAGAGAGAAGATCGAAAGAGACCAGAGGAAAGATTACAGAGAGAGAGTCTAAAATATAGAGAGACAGACAGAAGAGAGCACAGCGGCATACACAGAAGCAGATAATAAAGGAAAAGCCATCCTGATCTGGTCCATACACAGTGACTCGAGAGCACCGAACGGGGGCAGCGAGAGAGAGAGAACCATCCAGAGAGCCCACTGAGAACTCACATCTTCTCATCCCCCCTTATGCGAGTAGTATATTTTTTACAATGCCTGTCTTTTTTTCTTTTTAATTTATTTTTAAAAAAATTTTATTAGTGAAACACCATGAGGTAAGTTGTAGACTTACAAATTTTTGTGCTTGGGTTTCAGTTATACAACAATTGAGTACTCATCCCTCCACCAGTGCCCATTCCCCACCTCCAATGCTCCATTAAAAAATTGATATAATCTTTCTTACTATTACTCTCTCCCTCTCATCTTTATCAGTTACACACATACAGTCACTTTTTCTGTTCCAGTGTAAATGAATGAAGCTCTCCTTTAATTGCTAAAAATAATTTCACATTTTACTTTTGCTCTAATTTTATAGATGTATTAAAACCTTAATGAATATATAGAAGTAAATAAAGGGAAACGGTGATGAAAACAACAATCTATGTGGCATCTTGAGCGTCTATTTATTTACATATATCTATAAGGATTCCTGTTCTCATTACTTAGGCCTTGACCTTCGATTAGATCATGAAAACAAGCTTTTATTTTTGTTTATTTCATTTTTTTCACCACACCCAGTAGCCTCCTCTTAGGTCTGTGCTCAGGGATTACTCCTAGTGGTGCTTAGGGGACCATATAGGGTGCAGGATATCAAACTTGGGTTGGTCCATGCAAGTTATGTAACCTAGTCACTGTACTACAATTCTAGCCTAGAACAAACTTTTAAAACCAACATTAACTATGGTGACATTACCTCCAAACAAAGAATGATGTTTTGATGATGAAAGGAGTAAAGAACTTTGTATATTCATTATTATCTCTACCTGATTGTTCTTAAAACTGACAATAAATCACTTATAAATTCTTATACTACCTTTATTACATGTTTTAAAACACTCTACTGGATACTATTCTATTGAGATCAAAAGGTTGCCCTCTTCATCACTCTTTTAAGAGCCTCTTTGATATCCTTGTTTCTCAAACTATAGATAAGAGGATTTAACATAGGAATAACAGTAACATAGAACACTGACAGAACCTTGTCCTGTTTCTTGGAGTAGTTAGCAGTAGGACGCATGTACACAGCCAGGACAGTGCCGTAGAAGAGGACCACAACTACCACATGGGAGGCACAGGTATTAAAGGCTTTGAGACTGCCTTTTGCAGAGGATATTTTCAGTATGGAAGCGACAATAAAACCATAGGATAAAAGGATAAAGAGCATAGGACCAACTCCAACAAACAGTGCTACAAGAAAAATAATGATTTGGCAAAGAAAGGTATCGGAGCAAGACAAAGAAACAATCTGGGGTAAGTCACAGAAGAAATGTCGAATGATGTTTGGACCACAGAAATAAAGATTAACACAAGGTGCTGTTTCAACTAAACTACTAATAAAACCACTGGCAATGGCTGCAGTGACCATTTTGCAACAGAGTTTAGGGTTCATAATGGCCGAGTACTGCAGAGGTTTACCAATAGCAACGTATCTGTCATAAGCCATGGTGGCTAAGAGGCAGCACTCAGACATACCCATCCAAGCAATCACAAAATACTGAGTAGCACATGAAAGAAAGGAAATCGTTTTTCTATCCTTAAAGAAATCTGAAAGCATCCTTGGGCTAATGGAAGTAGTATAGCAGATGTCTATGAACGATAGGCAACTGAGAAAAAAGTACATAGGTGTGTGCAGGTGGGAGTCCATTCTAATTAGGATGATCAGACCCAGGTTTGAAATTAGGGTCACCAGGTAGATCACTAGGAAGACAGGAAAGAGAATAAGTTGCAGATCTTTTTCATTTGTGAGTCCCAAGAGAACAAACATGGCCACAGATGTGTGGTTTCTATATCCGTCCTTAGAGATGATTTCAGACATCTGTTGAGGAAAAGAGGAAAGAAAATATTTAGACTCAAAACACCAAATGGAGGGCTAGAGAAAGAGTCTACCGGGAAAGGCACTTGTTTTGCACATGACCAACATCGGTTCAATCCCTGAAAGCCCACGTGGTGCTTAGGGGTGATCCTTGAGCAGAGAGCCAGGAGTAAATTCTGATCACTGCCAAGTGTGAGCCAAACACTTCACCCCCTCACCCAACAAACAAAACCGAAAAAGGAATGCTTATTATTTTCTTCTAGCCCATTGTCTGACTCTAATTATAGTCTTGTACTTATCGCCTTGTATCTAATATTGAGTCAATCTGTACATTCCATGGATAATATACAATATTTTAGAAGTTTTAGGAGTGCATAAACTTATCACACATTTCAAAAAGAGCAACAACAACAACAACAAAAATCAAATTAAATTTGGCAAAAAACTTAGACACTTCTCCACAGACACATGAAAAAAATTTCTATATTCCTTACAGGAAGATGAAAACCAAAAAGTTAACTGCAGCATGTCAACTCACACTGTGAAAATCAGATCAGGCAAATATCGAAATCAGTCTTGGCAAAGAAGTGGAGAAAAATTAATTCTGCACACAATTGAAGTTAATGTAAATTGTTGAGGGTGATATCAGTTGGTACAACCACTGTGGTAAATGTCATGGAGATAAAAATTGAAACGGAGTTTCCATATGTTTCCATAGTACCATTCTCAGGCTTTTATTCAACATGTAAGAAAACATTTATTAAATCCATGTGCTAATAAGAACATTATTTAAAACTGCCAAACTTAATGTCCACCAACAGATGGTCAGATCAATCAGTTTTCGTATATATTATTTTGGCGATGCTTTATCATTAAAAAAGATGAAATACATTTTTAAAAATGGATATATCTTGAGTTTTTATCCTGAGAAATGATTTATGCATGACAGAACATAAGTATACTGAAGGACAATGCATATAGCTCATATGTAGAATATAAGTAATTACTGCAATTGAAATGAAACAGCAAAACCAAACAAAAACTCCTTATGCAAAGACTATGTGGATTCAATGACACTGTTGTTAATCTGAGCAAGTCTAACGGCCATGTTTCTTCTCTAAATCATGTCAGGTTCTATGATTTCTTATTCAAAAATTCTGAGTTCATATATTTTTAGTTCACCTTTTTTTGAGTTCGTCATATATTTAGATCACCTTTCTTTTTCAAAGATGCCTAAGTTTTTTTTGTTTCAGTAGAGGTGCTCTTGATTCACTTTTCATTTTTCCCTCACATAATTTTGACATAGTGTATTCATCTCTCCATATTCATTTCCACTGGACCGTGCAGAAGAAAGAATGAAGAAGAAGAAGAGGAAGAGGAAGAAGATAAAGAATGAAAGGGAGAAGAAAAAGACGAAGAAGAAAAGGAGAAGGAGAAAGGGAAAAAGAAATGAAGAAGAAGAAGAAGAAGAAGAAGAAGAAGAAGAAGAAGAAGAAGAGGAAGAAGAAGAAGAAGAAGAAGAAGTAGAAGAAGAAGAAGAAGAAGAAGAAGAAGAAGAAGAAGAAGAAGAAGAAGAAGAAGAAGAAGAAGAAGAAGAAGAAGAAGAAGAAGAAAGAGGAGGAGGAGGAGGAGGAGGAGAAGGAGAAGGAGAAGGAGAAGGAGAAGGAGGATGAGGAGGAGGAGGAGGAGAAGAAGAAGAAGGAGAAGGAGGAGAAGAAGGAGAAGGAGGAAGATGAGGAGGGATAAGTGGAAGAGGAAGAGGGAGAAGAAGAGGGGGGGAAATGAGGGGGAGGGTGATGGGTAGAGTTTGAGGGTGAGGAGAAGAAGAATATGGATAGAAAACATTAAAGATGGTCCCTTTCTTTTAAGAAGAGATCAGTAATCTTTTCTAATATTTAATTGACTGAGTTGGGAAAAATTTGTAGGCTAAGAAGCAAAGTCTGAAGAGCTCTGTTGAATACAGTAGTACAGACAAGATTATTCTTAGAAAAGCAAGTGTTCATTTATTCTTGACTGATTTTTTTCTTATTCTAGAACCTGAATGATAGCATAGTGGTAGGGCATTTACCTTGCACCCGGCCAACCCGGCCGACCCTGGTTCGATTGTTCCGCCCGTCTAGGAGAGCCCAGAGAGCTACTGAGAGAATCTCGCCCACACTGCATGCCTGGCAAAGTACCCGTGACATACTCAATATACCAAACACAGTAACAACAATTCTCACGATGGAGACGTTACTGGGCCCACTCGAGCAAATTGGTGAACAATGGGAGGATAGTGCTAGTGCTAGAACCTGAGCGATAGCACTGCCGGTAGGGCTTTTGCCTTGCATGTGGTCGACCTGGGTTTGTTTCTTAATCCCTCTCGGAGAGCCTGGCAAGCTACCAAGAGTATCCCATCCACACGGCAGAGCCTGGCAAGCTCCCGGTGGCGTATTCACTTAATCTTCACTTAACTTCCCGTTAGTCGTCGATTTGCTCGAGCGGGCGCCAGTAACGTCTCCATTTGTCCCTGTCGCGTGCTAGTGTAGCCCAATGGCATCTGTTCGCTCCAGGAACATGAAGGGCCTCAAACCGATCGTTCATGAACGATGAACGATTGGTGGCTTATTCAATATGTCAAAAACAGTACCAAGAAGTCCCACAGTGAAGACGTTACTGGTGGCCTGATGAACAGTGGGAGGACAATGCTACAGACAGTGCTATTCTAGATCCTAGCACGGTAATAGATGAAACATGGATGTACTCAATTCTGAATGCCACCCACAGAATCTTCTGAGGCCTCTAAAGAATAGAACTGATAAGGTAGTAAACATATTATTTAGAGGCAGGGTAGATCCCTTTTATGCTATGATACTGTCCTTCAACAGATTTTACTTTACTTTTAAATGTTAATGAGGTATGGAAAGGATCCCTATAAAATTTAAAATTTAAGGACAATGATATCAAGATGTTTCTATGCATTTTAATTTCTTTCTACATCATCGATGCTTGATATTCTTCAGAGCAGTTTCTAATAACTCACCTAAGAATTCTTCAAAGTTCTACTTTGCTCTGATCCAGATTCTTTTACTTGTAGTGTATCCAATATCCAAAAAAGGTGAATAGATGTTTGGCTTCCTGCTTTGAGGGGATCCTCATCAGTGTTCTAAGAGAATTAGGCACTTAACTTGACAGGAATCAACCATCTTTTGTTAATGATGTTTGACTCACTGAAACTCCAGATATCATCCAAATGGGGAAAAAAGAAGCTTTAAATGTTCCTGAACCTGCTCCATCACACCTAAGAAAGAAAATGGGAGGACAAACTACAACAAAGCAGAGCAATTAACATCACAAGTTGCTAATTACCTCTCCTGGGGACAGAGGCAGATGTAGGCTATTAATTGGTCCCAATAAGATATTCCTTCATGGCATTATTCTTTTGAGAATTTATTATATCAAAACTCCTTCTTTTAAAGATGAAGTCATGAAATTTACATACAAATGGTATTACTTGGAAAGTATCATGTTAAGCAAAATGACTCAGAAAGAAAGGGATAGACTAGAAAGATTGCATTCATCTGGGGAACATAAAGTAACAAAATAGGAGACTAACACTCAAGAATGGCAGAGTTTAGTACCAGGAATTTAATTCTATGGCTTGGAGGCCAGCCACACATGCTAGGGGAAAAGGGAGCTCTTATAGAGAAGGGAGCACCAAATAAATAGTGTTGGGAGGATCCTCCCAGGATGGGAGAATCATGCTGAAAGTAAACTATAGACCAAACATGATTGTCACCCATTGCCTCTTTTGCAAACCACAACACCCAATAAGAGAGAGAGAACCAAAGGAAATGCCATGTCACAGAGTCAGGGTGGGATGGGGGCTGGGGGCTGGGAGGGTTACTGGGATCCGTGGTGGTGGGAAATGGGCACTGGTGGAGGGATGAGTATTCGATCATTGTATAACTGAATCCCAAGCACAAAAATTTGTTAGTCTACAACTGAACCTCATGGTGTTTTACTAGTAAAAATTTAAGGAAAAAAATAACATAGAAACAGCAATTTTTGAAATAATAACTAGATTCAAAGAAAAAAAAGAGTCCCAAGTATCCCTCCTGCAATGTAAGCTCAGTTATCTAGACAATATTGATGTTCCCTTAATATCTTTTTTTTTCTTGTGTTAGGAACAGATGACTCTCTCTGATTGGGGGGCACACCTTAGGGTTATTAGGGTTTCTTCCTGACTCTGTGCTCGGGGAAATCTCTTAGTGGGTTTTGGGGACCATATGTAGCACTGGGAGGGCAGCCAGTTTGAACCTACGGACTGTTCAGTAGCTCTGTGCCTCACTTTGTTTCTTTAATTGGGTTATGATGACACCTACACAGATAGGTATAACGCTAAACTGGTATTCTATGAAATGATAAATCAACGGTAAATTGAGGTTCATCATATTTAGAAATATAGAGATTTGCAGTATTGAGATCGAAACAAAAATTACTCTTGAGTCCAGGGACTCCCACCATTTTCTTTCTATATTTTAAATTTTTATTAGTGAAACACAATGAGGTACAGTTGTAGAATTGCAAATTTTGGTGTTTGGGTTTCAATTATACAATGATGATACCCATCCTTCCACCAGTGCCCATTATTCACCACCACGGATTCTAGTAGCCCTCCACCCACCTCCATCCACCTCACCCCACCCCACCCCACCTCTGTGGCAAGGCATTCCCTTTTGTTCTCTCTCTCTTTTGGGGTGCTTTGGTTTGCAAAAGAGGCATTGAGTGGCTATCATGTTTGGTCTATAGTCTACTTTCAGCATGCATCTCCCATCCCGGGAGGATCCTCCCAACACCCTTTACAGGTGCTCCCTTCTCTATCTGAGCTGCCTTTTCCCCTAGCATGTGCGGCTGGCCTCCAAGCCATGGAGTGAACCTCCTGGTACTTATTTCGGCTATTCTTGGGTGTGAGTCTTCTCTTTTGTTACTTTATATTCCCCAGATGAATCCAATCTTTCTAT